TATATATATATATATATATATGATATACCAAATCATACACTTATGGACATAGGCGAGTTCACAATGTGTCAACTTTTCGCACAACTCATAAAATGAATCAAACCCCAACAAGCAAATGTGATTCCAAAGGGTTAGTTAGGGTTGGATGGAAGAGAGGAAGATGAAAGGTAGCGCGAGAATGAGGAAGAAAAGAAAAGAAATGTAGAAAGAGGAGAATAATGGTTGATGTCCTTCGAGCAGATAGCAGTTTGGAGACACAATCATAGCAAATGGCCAACGGAATAGAGCGATCATCACGCTTCACTGATCGTTTCGATTGTCGATCTCTACTGGCTGGCAATTACAACTGATCTTCTTCCGACCATCCTCTATTTCATTTCATTTCATTTCAGTCAGACTGACTTTTATCGTCCTTGGCAAATTTTGAACTGAACGAATACTTTTCTATACTTATTAGCCAGCTATTCATCGTCTTTTCTAGTCATCATCTGATGGTGACAAAAATATCTTTATTGTTCTAATATTGTACTGTATGAGAAGTAATACTTGCAAATATGTACTATATACTTTAATCAATGGATATCATCAATTTTCCTATTTCAAGCTTCAAATTCCTTGTATCATATATTTAGTTGACATTGTTGCTTACTGCACTGTAATTTCAAGCAAAGAATGACATCATGCATCATGCACATTCCAGGTAACTAATTCATGCTAAAAAAGATAGATAATAAATGATTGTTTATTAGCATTGAAATGAGGGAAAATGTTCCGCGAGAGATAAAGGTAATTTGGACGGTGCCAAAGTATGTCCACCTATTTTCTAGTTCTTGGCGACAATCAACTAATCAACTTCACTCTCTCTTTTATCCTTAATTTTACTCTGCAGTGAGAATGATGTCAGCTGGCTGTCAAAATGGATGAATGACATGTACCACACATAACAATTTACCATCACCATACTACTCTCAACCATTCATGACAGCAGCAGAGGCAAATGGAAATCAATGTGGGAATTATTAGTTATCATACAAAAACCACTTGAAGAGCCTCTCCTGAAGAAACGAATACCGAAAAGAGGTATAGAAATGAGAAATGGAGAATGTTATTAGAGAGAAAGAAAACATTAACAGGAGAACCTGTTTTTAAATGCAATGCAAATGGTTGATGAGTTTTAACTTCAATCTCTCCTCACCATCATTTTCAATCTTTCTAATCCTCTCCCTCAAAACTCTTTTCTTCATCCATCATCTTTCAACCTTACCAGTTCATCAATTTACGCACTCGTACGTCCCAATGTCAGCAATGGTAGTTGACACTATATCACTGAGGAATATGCAATTGTCACTCTCGTCACCTTCACTCTCCTTCTTACCACTACTACTATTACTACTGCTACTACATAAACTTTCATCAATATATCCTCTCTCTCTCTCTTCTCTTTCCTTACCTATCTCTTTGAAAGAATTTTAAAATGAGTAGATAAGAGAGTAGCAGAAGTAAGTCTTGCAAGAAATATACAGCTAAGGAGATGTGATGACATTACTACCGAAAGGTTAACAAATAAATGAAGAGTCCAATTGGGAGAAAAGCATAAATTGGCACTTTATGACGCTTTCTATCATCAACGATAATTCGATTTTAATTAATATATTAAGAATGAGTTTTAAACTACACCTTCCTTCACTTGCATATTAAATCCAAGAGCCTGATGAGAATGATCGCACTAGCAATTTTTTGGACAACCAAGCGGATATAATTAGTCATGGTCTTATCCTTCCTTTCTAATTAATTGCTTGACATTGATCCTAGTTCCTCTTCCCTCCTTATCAATAACTTTCTACAATTTGAAAGAAAATCATCAAGATAAAATTAGATTAAAACAATTAAGCACATTAACACTACACAACATAGGGATATCCAAATGAGAAACTTGATGAAGAAAGTGAGTAATTTAACTGAAAGTGAGTAAGTTAACATTTAAGTTAACTGGCTTTATAAAGCATTACTCCGTAATAAAGTACTGCTCGTTAATCAATGTATCAACAAGTATCATTATTATAGACACAATGATGATAGAATATTTGTTTATTACTAATATCTACCAGAGAGAACAAAATCATACTTAAATGCAGATACTAATTTCAAGGAATCGTTTTGTTATTATTAAAGTTTGATCTCAAACATGTAAACAGTTACTTCCAAATTTACTAATTAAAATTTTTCTAAAAATTATTCAAATTATAAATAATATTATCTGTTCTATCATGATTACCAATCAGAAAAGGAAATAAATCAATTTTGGTGCAATCAAAAAGAATTAGCTAAATAAAGATTGAATTTGAATAAATGAAATGCATTTCTAAATAGAAAAATATCCAAGAGAATGCAGCAAAAAAAAGTTTAAAGGAGATGAATGGTAAATCGATAACGATCCTTTNTTTTTTTTTTTTTTTTATATCGCTCCATTCTTAAGAATGCACGTCAATGAACAGTAAATAGGCTTCCTGGGAGAGTCAAAACTCAGCTACAGACAGGCATCCATCCAATACAGTCCTTCGATCGTACATGGAAGTATAAAAGAAGAAAATTTTTTATAC